TTCGCTTTCAGTGTGCTGTGTAAGTTTCCTGAATTATCTTTTTAAAATCTCACAACAGAAATTAGGGACTGTGTACTCTTGATGTTGGTCCTGCCTTGTCACACATTAATACTGCCACTCTACTCTCTTTTTGTAGCATTTGGCTATTAACGATTTGCACATCCATTTATTTTCAACTCCTCTTTTACCTTCTTTTTAAAGAAAATAAGGTTAAAATAGCCTTCCCTTGTGCCCTATTTCAGTAGGCTCCCTTCTCACCAATGTTCCAACTGCTATCTGCAGAGAATCATTCTGCCTGTCCCAGAACTTTATGTGAAGTTCCATGCAGTTTGTAGTCTGTTGTATCTGGCTTCTTTTATTAAAATTAATAATTTTTTTGAGATTCATCCAAATTGTGTGTACCAATGATTCATTTCCTTTTATTGCTGAGTTTGGATAACCAGATTTTATTTAATGGCTCTAATGGTGATGGGTTGTCTCCAGTGTTAGGCCTTTATGGATAAAGTTACAGTGAAAATTCTTGTAAGTCTCTTTGTGGACTTACAAGTACTGAGCTTGTACTCACTGATCATGGATATATACCTTGAAGTGCAATTGTTGGTCGTAGTGCAAACCAATTAGGAACTCCGAGTAGTTTTCCAGAGTGTACATTCCGTCAGTTATAAACATGAATGTTCCAGTTGTTCTGTATCCTAGTCAACACTTAATATTACCAATCTTTTTTATTTTAGCCAAACTCATTGTTGCTTTAGTTGGCTTTCCCTAATAAATAATGATGTTAAGCACCTTTTCTTGTATTTTCAGATACATTCAGGTAGCTTCTTTCTTGAAGTGCTTATTTAACCCCAGCTCATTTTTAAATTGGATTAGTCATCTTTCTATTTGTGATTTTTAAAAGGCTCTATATGTCCTTTGTCACACATACATATTTTTTCAGTTCATGGCTTGCTGTTTTGTTTTTATAATATCTTTTGAGCAGAACTGTTTAATTTTGATGAGATCCACTATAGCAAACTTTTAAAATGTTTAATGCTTTTCATATGTTGTCAGAATCTTTACCTGCTTCAATGTCCCTAATATTTTTCCGGGAGTTTTATAATGTTAACTTTTATGTTTAGGTCTGCGATGTTCATCTTTATGCGAATATCTCATTGTATTATTTATGTCAGGTTTATAGTCAGTCTTGAAATCATGTAGGTGAGTCTTCCAACGTTGTTCTTTTTAAATTGTTTTGGCTGTTTTAGGTCCTTTCCATTTATGTATAAATTTTAGCCTGTGAATTTTTACCAAGAAAAGGCCTTTTAGGAGTTAATTGATTTGGAGAAAATCACCAGTATTGTTCATCCTGTTTATTTGTGTAGGCCATCTTTAATTTCTGTCAGCAATATTTTGTAGTTTCCAGTAGAGATTTTCCATGTCTTTTGTTAAATTTATTCCTAGGTATTTTTTATGATATTATAATTCTTCTGTGTCTATTATATAGAAATATAGTTGATATTTGTTACTGGCATTGCTGCCTCAATAAATTTACTTATTCCATTAGGTTGTCAACCTGCTTAGATTTTCTAAATATGTCATCATGTCTTCTGTTAATAAAGGCAGTTTTACTTTTGCTTTTTTGGTATTTTTTCTTGCCAGATCTCATGGACTGGAACCTTGAAATCAGGTAAAATCTTGAAATAAGTGGTGAAAGGGGACACCTTTGCCTTATTCCTGATCTTGTGGAGAAAGCATTCTATATCTGTACCATTTTGCAGATGCCCTTTACACAGCTGATTTTCTTTCCATTCTTAGTTTACTGAGAATTTTTATCATGAAAGTATATTGAGTTTTCTCAAGTTCTTTTTCTTCATCTATTGAAAAAATACCACTTCTGTGTCATGTATTTTTAAAATGTATTTCTAGTTTTTATTTGCCAATAGCTTGTTCGGATTTTTATGTCTTTGTTCATAAAGGCTATTGGTGTGTAATTTTTTTCTTATAACATCTTGGTCACTTTTGATATTATGGTTATACTGGCTTCATTAAACAAAATAAGAAATGCTTTTAGCCTCTATTTTATGAAAATGTTTGTGTTATAATTTCTTTCTTACATGCCTGGTATAGAATCACCAGTGAAATCACCTGGGCCTGAAGTTTTCACTGTGCAAACCCTAGCCTATGATGGATTCAATTAGCTTAATAAATATAGAACTAGCTGTGCCAGTTTTTGAAGATTGTGTTTTTCAAGAGATTAGCAATTTCCTCTATGTTGTCAAGAGTTGATGACATAAAACCATAATGTCCTTTTACTATTATTTTAATATTTAGGATCTATAGGAATGTTTCCTTTTTTTTTCTGTTCTTGGCAATTTACAAAGTTTTTTTTTCTTTATTTCTTCATCAGTCTTGCCCAGGAGCTTATCATTTTTGTTATTCCTTTTTAATTTTTTTTAATTTTTAGATTTTGTTATACTTTTTTAAAATTATACTTTAAGTTCTGGGGTACATGTGCAGAACATGCAAGTTTGTTACATAAGTATAGGATCTTGGTCTCTTGCCCAGGTTAGAGTGCAGTGGTTCAGTCATAGCACACTGCAGCCTGGATCTCCTGGGCTAAAGTAATTCTATCACCTTAGCCTCCAAGTAGCTGGGACCACAGGTGTGCGCCACCATGCCTGGCTAATCATTATCATTATTATTATTTTATTTTATTACAAAAAACCCTACTTTTGGCATTGGTGGTTTTCTCTAATATTTACCTTTAAAAAAAAAAACTGATTTCTTTATCTTTTCCTTCTATCTAATCATCTATTTTGGTTTGTGTTTATAGATACTAGAGAAAGAGAGAGATAAAGAAAGGCAAGAGGAAACTCAGAGTTCATTGCCTGTCACTGTTTTCCTCAGTAGTTCATCTTCTTTGATCTGATTTATTTGATTTTAGGTTAGAGCCTTTTCTCATTACATAGGTGAAGTACCCTTTGAACCCTTGCATATCCAGAAATATCTTTCTTTGACCCTGTTGAGAGAATGACACACTGGCAAAATACAGGATTCTTGGGTTCTGTTCTTTCATTCCTCTAGATTTTAATCCAGTGATTGCAGGTCCCAGTGTTGCATGTCAGAATTCAGACCAGTTCATTCTTCTTTGTAAGTAAATTATTCTTTTTATCTAGAAGTTTGAAAGTCAGTCTCCTACTGCCGTTCCCTCTCTTATTTAGAATAATGTATTAGAAACTAGAAACTTTAACAGTAGTTGACTAGATGTGTGGGCTGTCTTATCAGTGTAGCCTGGCACTCTGCAACCCTATTTGAAGTTGCAAATTTGGGTCTTTCTTCAGATCCAGTTAAATTTTCTTCTACTACTTGTGTAATTAATACCTTTTCTTTAGCTGCTTATATTTCTTTATTTGCATTTCTACTTTTTACACGTTAGGGCTCCTGGATTTATCTTCTAGTATTGTCCTTCATAATTTCCATTTCTTTACATTTTTATTCTATGCTTTGAAGTAGTTCTTGCACTTCAGATCAGCCTTAACCGTGACCAGTAGTTCCTTCTGTTAATCTACGCAGTTGTTAACTTTGGAAATCATATATTTCACCTCTAGAAATCTCATTTTGGTAGTATACTTTAATCTCCTTAAGAGTTTTCTTTATTTTTCTGTTCAAGTTGTTGCTTGTCTCTTCTGCAGCTGAATTTCACTGCTTGATGGGTGTTCCTATGCATAGCAGCTGACTCCCTTAGTGTGCGTTTATTTTTCATGGTCAGCTTGTTGCAGTTCAGGCCTGACATTGGAGAGAAGCCTGTCCCTCTCAGGCCAATGTTGCAGAAGCAGAACGGCCACCAGCCCCCTGCAGAGTAACCTGGGCCCACAGACTCTCCACACCTCAAACTTCCCACATCCTCCATGCTTGGGTCTCTGCCTCCCCTCTCTTCCGCTTCTGGCATCTTGGTGCTGGAGAGACCAGGCATACTCATGTAGGGCTGATGCTAGCCTCCTTACCCTCTTCTACACCCACGCCCATCAGGAGCCCACAGTCCATGCGGCTGAACTGTGCCAAGGACAACACTTTCTAATAAGGGTCTTCCTTGTTTCCTTTTGCTCACTACAGTGAGCCCTGCGTCTGGCCTCTGTGGAGTTGCCTTGGAGTCTAAGGCCTGACCAGCACGTGGCCACTCCCAGGCCACACAGCCAGAGCTGTAACTAGAAGGAGAAGCCAAGGGAGCTGCAATGAGGTTTCTAGAGTGTCAAAGCAGGCTTATTTTCCATTGGTAACGCTTTTCAAATTAATTAGTTAATATGAAGAAACATAATTTTAAATGGTTCCTTTTTAATTGTAGTTTACTGGCTATTACATTTTAGTGTTTATAATACCTCTTGCTCTGCTTATAGAAATGAGAGTTTAGTATTTTCAAAAACAACTGATACGGTTAGGCTTTCTGTCCCCATCCAAATCTCATCTTAATTTGTAATCTCCATAATCCCCATGTGTCAAAGGAGAGACTAGGTGGAGGTAATTGAATCATAGGGGCGGTTTCCCCCAGGCTGTTCTCATGAGAGTGAGTGAGTTCTCACAAGATCTAATGGTTTTAAAAGGGGCTCTCCCCCTTTCACTGGGCGCTTCTCCTTCTGGCCACCTTGTAAAGAAGATGACTTGCTTCCCCTTTGCCTTCCACCAAGATTGTAAGTTGCGCTGAGGCCTCCCCAGCCATGCGTAACTGTGAGTCAGTTAAACCTCTTTCCTTTATAAATTACCTACTCTCAGGCAGTTCTTTATAGCAGTATGAAAACGGACTAATACAGTGACTTATAGTCCATGTGTGGGGTTATTTTTTTCTCCTGCAAAATAGCTTTGTTAAAAGAGATCTTTATTACTGAAAATACATGAAATAAAAATCATGAGTTTTTGTAGGAAAATTGATAAGTGCTTTTAATATAGTCTGAAGTGTCTTTAACATTATTTTACTTTTTCCATCACCCTCAAATAGGCAACTCATACTCTTTATTATGTGTTCATAGGTTAGCATGGCATCATTGAAAGAACTAGATCAAAGACTCTTTGAAAATTACATCGAGTTGAAAGCAGATCCCATCGTTGGTTCCTTAGAACCTGGAATTTATGCAGGCTATTTTGATTGGAAAGACTGCCTGCCTCCAACAGGTAAGTAAATAAAGTGTCTTGAGTGATAGATGTGGATATGCTTTTATCAATTGTTACATGCTTGAATTCTTTTCATTTTATTCTCGTTTTTCTCATACCTACTGAGAGTGAGAGATTAATTTGATTTCAACTTATTTGCTTAAATCCATTTTTTGGATAATTTGGAAATTAGGACACTTTTTATTATTACCTAGTGGCTTAAAACTGTTTTTAAGGTCAAGAGAATAATTAAATATACCTTATAATAATTGATCATTTTAGTAATGCATGCCTGCTTCCTACGATATTTTTGTATAAATATAATAGAGTGATTGTGAGTGACAGTTTCATACAATGATCTTGTGAACATCATCAAAAAATGTGTTAAAGAAATCTGGTCACATCTATGTAAGACCTAATTAGCGATGCTGTAAAGGTGAAGGATAGAAGAAAAATGTGTAGGAGTGAGATGATTATAGCAATTTAGCAATGAAAATTGAGCCACAGAAGGATGAATGATACAGTTCAAGTATTATCTTTGTGATATCAAATGAAAGTCACTTGAATCACTTCAAAGTGTATATTTTTAAAATAACTATTGCTTTCTGAGTCAAATAAACTTTTGATTGATCGAATAGTTGTTTCTTTGTATAAAATAGTGTGGAATACCTCAACCAAAGCTGCCCGTTGGCACTGTTGTAGAGAAGTGGTTTATGTAGAAGTGGTCATGCTCATATCAGACGTGGGCTTTTCATGGGTATATATATGTAGATACACCAGTGAGTTGTTAACAGGTTTGGGTTTATTTTCCTTGTTTTGACTAATCACGTTAATCTCCTTTTGTTTTTATTGTGTAGCGCTTATACTTAAACGATGATAAAATTGTTTATTGTTTAAACACCTTTCATTTTTATTGTATAGTGTGCACATATAGTGATGCCAAAAGTCTAAACTAAAAACCAGAATCATTCAATTAACCACAGTTTCTTAATGTGACCACAGTTATTGAATTATCTGAACTCACAGTCATGGCAGTCATGCAAGCCTTTATTCCTCCTGTGCTTTTCTGTACACACACTTTACTGTGCCCAAGCCAGATTAAGTTCATACCCTCACAGTACATCCTTTTAAAGTCTAAGTTAGACTCTATCAGTATCTTGCTTAAAATTCTTATAATATCTTTCCATGATAGTAAAACCTGGGAAGATGTGCTGTGCCAGCCTCTTCCCTGGCACCTTGCCCACTGCCCCAGTGCGCCACCCCACAGCCTCTCCTGCTAGACTCAACCTCTGCCTTTTTGAATAGCTCATCTTTCAAAAATATAAATTGGATCCTATCAGTCCCCTGCTGAAAACCCTTCAGAGAGGCTCATTCTCCTGGTGGCTAACCTCAGACTTCTCAGACAAGGTAGCATCCCCACAGGTACCAAATTCCATGGAAGCTTAAATTCCTGGTGTGAAATGGTGTCGTATTTGCAGGTAACCTACACACATCCTCCTGTATGCTTTAAATCATCTCTAGATTACTTATAACACCCAATACAATGTCAATGCTTTGCAACTAGTTGTTATTATTTGGGGAATAAGAACAAGGAAAAAAGTTCATGCATGTTTACTACAGATGCAACCATCTGTTTTTTCCCCCAGAATATTTTCCATTCATGGTTGGTTGAATCTATAGATGCAGAAGTCACCATATGGAGGCCACAGAGGCGCTTGCTATGAGTTACCTCCCTCTCCATGGGCTCCCCTAGGCAGCAGGCAGGCTGGGTGCTTCGTGCACTATGAACCCTGTGCCTAGTCCCTCTCACCTTTGCCCCTTCTGCTAACCTCCCCTGCCCTCCCAGGCCCGACGTCCTCTGGAAGCCCACCCCGCCCATCCCTGCATGCCTCCGGGTCATGCTGGCCTACCTCCATCTGTGGTGCTCCCAGAGCAGTTCACAGCTCTCTGCGCCCACAGAAAACGTTTTGTCATTGTCTACCTCCTTGCTGGACAGCCTCAGCACAGGGGCCGGCATTTGGGTGTCTGGTTCTCAGCATTTTTAGCACAGTGCAGTTTCTGACACCCAACTGATGGTTTATTTTTGTGGAGTCAATGAAGATTGGCAGTTTTCTATAATAATATGCCATCTTTCTAAATATGCCTGTTGCTCCGTCTCTTCCAAGTGTTTGCTATATGCTTTTGCCTGATTTTTCTCAACATTTTTTCGGTAGGAAAGTACATCATACAGTGTTCTAGTTTATACTGTTCTTCTGATTCACTTCTAAATAAATAATACACAGTGGATATTCGTATTTGTTGAAATGAATTAAAATGAGTTAGAGTGCTCATTTTCTTGTCATTTGTGAATTCTCATATGGTAGTTGTGTACACTTTATAAATTTGAGCAATTGCATTTTAATTAAAATGCAATTGTCAAGTATATCTAACACATCATCAATACTATCTATTTAACTATTTAAACTCTTACCGAACAATATATTACTTTGCATCACAATGCAAGAAGTAATACATTGTCAGTAATAGTTCAAATGAATGTTGTTAAAGTTCATGTCTTCCCCTGTGATTAGCGTGTAAGTACATTAACTGTTCACACATCTACTACATCAGCAATTCTGTTTAACTATTTATTACTGTACAATGTATTACTTTGCATCACAATGCAAAAAGTAACACATTGTTCAGGAATAGTTCAAATGAATTTTGTTAAAGTTCATATCTTTTCCTGTGATTAGCATCTAAGTACATTAACTGTTCACACTGAAATCATTCTTATCTTACTTGGTTATGTTCAAGGTTATTAAATCATTTGTGATGTTTCTTTGAGATTAGAAAAAATCGTGACACAACCCTTCTGATTTTCCTGCACTTCAGGAATTGCTATAACAATTTAGAATGGGCGACCAAGCTTCAGTCTCCACAAACAGTGGTTATTCTCTGTTGTCACTGAAATCTCTGATTGTTACTGAGAAACAGGATTGCCCCTGATGCAGAAGATGACTTCTCTTCACCAACCCTCCCTCAGACCTAATGCCTCCCTTAACAAATGGTGAGATGTCTTTAGTGTGCACTGAACACTGGCAAGGACAGTCAAGAATGTCTGTCAGGTAGAAGGCAGGCATTTCCCATCCACCCGCTCCAAGGTGTCTTCGGAAAATAGACATCTATGCAGGCCCATTCTCTGCAGGGCATTGTTAGGTCACAGTACTTCAAATGCAGGGGCTGCTGGCCATTACCATGTGTCTGTGGATCCCATGACAGCACTCCAGTGAGCAGTAACCAGGGCAGAGGGTGAATGGAGCCATTGCTGGACTAACAGGGATCTTAGGTTTCCACTGCATCCAGTTACTAACCACGACTTGCAATTTCCAAGTCCTCACTGGATTTATTTAAGGTACCCAGAGTCCTTTCTCTATGACCTTCATATTTTCCAACCATGACATTGAACTAGTACAAGCCTCTGTTGTGAATTAGGATCAGAGCCTAAATGTAATCCTGAGATTGATCTTAATAATGGTTTGTAACCTTAGATAATCTTTAATACAAAATTAAGATTCTGCAGGCTGTGTGACATTAAGTGGTGAGGCTTTTTTGTTTTTTGTAACATAACTTCATTTCTTGGTTTTGTTTTTTTCTTAAGATAAACTTTGTTTCATAAGCAAATGGCACATGACACCGTACTTTCAGCAATTTATTTACTCTTTCTCATATTCCAAAAACACGTAGAAGTTGTTGGTGTTCGTTTCACTTTTATGAACTGTATTTAGTTCTGTTCTTGGTGTAGTTTTGACTTCTTGATTCCTAACTGAACCTCAGCCTTGCATAGTCATATAGTGATTTTTAGTTTGTTTAAAGCTGACTTAAGTTGAAATTTTGTGTGAAGTGAATAGCCAAAATAGTTTGACTATTAATCTTCCAAAATAATTTCAATTAACAACTTTAGTGTTATCTTCAGAATTTTCATCTTCAGAAACTGAATTTTGCAAATCATATAGGTAACTGATTACTTATTGCTGTAGTTAGCAATAAATTTAGTTTCTGATACTGTATGTAGTGATTAAAAAAAAATCCAGTTGATTAATTTCATGATTCAAGAGGAGATATCCGTTAAAGCCATAGCTATGTTTTTTTAAATCTGACCGTTGGCTAGTTAGATTGGTGTCACCTCTTTATTTGTGTATATGTCAGTAAAGATTATTCTGGTTAATTCTGAGTCACAAAACTGCTGTTCTTAAGATTTTAATTGTTGTTATCCACAATTATTAAGAGTTCTTAGTATTTGAATTTTATAAATTTTAAATAAATTAAGAATATTGTTGGTTTTTACAAATACACATTGAAGTTCACGTCTTTAAAAACATTAAATAAGAAAAAGTATTTCTTTAAGTTTTCTCTTGTATGCTGGTTTAACTATTTTTTTCTATCAAAAGGCATGAAAACTTAATATGTATTATTTAAAGGTATTTACTAAGTGAATTTAAATTTAATCAGTTTATATAAGTAAATAGTGATCTGATTTTTAATTCAAATGCTCTTTTACTAATTATAGTAATTGAAATTGTAATGGAAAGGGGAAAACTTTATATAGTTTGTGACATGAGTATGTCTAGGACCATTATAAAAATAAAAGCAGAGTTGTTTGCTTCCATATGTGATGCGTATAACCTAGAGCAGAGTAACCTTCCCTCCCTCAGTGATGCACCAGAGCACAGGTTCAGAGTACATGGTTCTGTCAGTGAGCAAGACTTATAAGTGTGTTGTCCAAGCAGTGTGCCAAGCAGCATTTTCCAACAAATTGAAGAGAAAGAAAATGTAAATCTAGTTGTGGAGACAGAGGCAGAGGCACAGCCCTTCTTAAGTCTATGTTTGTTCAATTTTATTTTAAGGTCTTTACCTTTTGGAATGTATTTTGCAGGTGTTTTCACTGAATTCTGCAGGAGACACTGCACAATTAGGTTACCTCTTGCATCCTATAACTTAAACCATTCAAAGCTCAGGCCCAGCTTAGAGTTTCTAGAGAA